GAACAGGCAACCAATTACCAGGCCGAAGTCGGCCAAGTCATAATAGCAGCGAGGAGGGACGACAGAGGATGCGGGTAGATTGATACAGCACTGTTTCGGGCTTATTCTGCCTTCATTCAGCCAATCATAACCCTGACCACCACCTGGGTCAACTGACTGGAAGCACTACCGGCCATGTCTCGATAGTAAATACAGCAAATGTATTATAGCACGCAATGTTAACCCAAATAATAAAAAGCGCTTTTAACTCGAAAAGATTACTTAAATACAGTTGTAATATTAATTGCCGTGCGGCATACTCCCGAGATATTTCAGTCACGTCAGGATGTCGACTTTTCAATGTGCATATTTTTAGGCGTCTGAAAAAACCACATCGCAAAAAAGCCTGCAAGCGTCTGCTATACCAAGATCAGCAAAGTATGGCCTTCGCAGTCTGCTATGCACTGGCAATTATCCTGGCCCCCTGCTGGTATGTGTGTTTGCGATCTCGCCCGGTCGGGAGCACAGCTGCCCAGTCATCCTCCTTCTTCTGACTCGTCGTGTTGTTGTTGTTGTTGTTGTGTAAAATCCCGATCATTTGCCGTGTGGACCAGGGAGTGTGGAGTTAAGCGCACAAGTGCGGACTCGGCCGTGCCATCCACCTGCGCGCGCTTCCGCCTTCGGTCTTCTTGACTCTGTCCTGACACTGGGTCCAGGTGTTGGAACAGGAGTGTGGTAGGCGCTCCGCAAGTCTACTCTCACTATTAATTGATCCACGCGCAGGTGACCGTGACCGCTCCACCTTACTGAGGACATCGTCGGCAACGAGAATCAAACTGTCACGTAATATGAATATTCCAAGTTAAATTTCCATACCCTCATAAACTCAAGCATATCTTATAGGAAACGTGCACAAAACGATTCGTCCCGTTACTGGTTACGTCTTTCTTCACTTTTTTTACTTAAAGGAATAGTATGATTCGATTTTGAAAACTTTCTCATTCCCCAAATAATTTTGAACTCGACCTACTATCACAGGATTTCCATACTATAAATTGTCTATTTTCAGTGCAAGAGAAATCAAAGCTGCCATATTGGCTTAGTACAATTTTGCAGTGCATTTCAATTATATTGGATGCCTTGAACGTCACATTACTAAGTCTTGATCTTCTATAAATGGACGTTTTACGGTCTAAGAAATCTCGCAGGAAGCTACCCTTATCTCAAGTTCAAAATTTAAGGTTGATTGGACTTGCTACTAAATTTATAAAGAAATGGATATTTTTGCTTTTTTCAACACTTGAATTTATAGGGGCACCAAAACTCGATTAAAATAATTCACACTACACTTTTCTACAGACGGCCCGAAGAAAGCTCGTTAAAAAGCCGACATCCTGGCATTGTTGAAATATCTTAAGGTTATACTGCAGGGCAATTAATATTGCAACCCCATTTAAGCAATCTTTTTGTGTCGTGAATGCATATTGTAATTTTGACTAACATTCATAAGGCAATACGCATATCTGGCTAACGTTAATATCGTCCAATAGAAGGGACGTCGGAGCGACAAATGTTAGCTATTCATAGATATTTTGGCAAATTTTGAATAATTCATATTGGCCCAACTGTGAGAAACTCGGCTCCTCGGTGGGATCGAACGCACGCAGTAAGGGGAAGGCTTAAGTACGGCCAACGCTCTTACCACTTGAGCTACGAGGCCCCGCCGGACGACGCGAATTTAATCATATTTGGGTCCATATGAATTATTAAAAATCTGCCAAAATATCTCTGAATTACGTGAGCCTGGTAGTCATCTGGTGGATTATAGGTCAACTACTTAGGAAATCCTGCTTGGGCAGTCAACTTACTGTATCAGATTTGGTGGATTCCAGACGTTGCAGCGGGCAGGACGGGTGAACTTGACCCAAGTATGATTAAACTCGCGTTGTACGGTAGGGCTTCGTAGCTCAGATAATTAGTGTTGGCTGTACTAAAGCCTTCCCCTTACTGCGTGGGTTGGAATCCCACCGAGGCGCCGAGTTTTTCACAGTTTGGTCAATATGAAATGTCAGCTAGTTTACTGTCATCGGACAGTGGTACCTTAATCTCAGGAGCGGTACGACTCAAGGTTCAGTTGGCCACTGAATTTTTGGATCAGATTCGCATTTTACTCGAGTCCACGGGCCTACACCCTGTTGGCTGCAATCATACACACCCACACAACCCCGTTTGACAATGAGATTATCACACTTATCCTGACTGTGAATTGTTAAAGCGTTTCGTAAATTGTACATTCCACGTGGAATCCGAGATAGTGACTTCGGTAGTTTGGATCGCAAGATACATACCCGCCCAGTGACCACTTGGGACTAGGTTTCGAGTCTCGTGTGCCCCTCCGACCAGGCAAAAGAATAACGTGAGCTTGAAGTAGCCCATCCAGTGTCTCTGACGCTGTTGGTAATACACTTCGATTTGTTGTTAGTCGCTATACAGCCAACGTAGCAGTCTCCCGACCCGAGGCCACAGTAAGGACTGAAATGTTCATTCCCATCCGAACCCAACCTCCCCCCCCCCACCAAATCAAGTACAGTGCCCCCCTTGCGTAGGATCTTTGTCAATTCATGTTTACTTTCATATCTGATCTCCCTCAATGAGCCCAATGCCATGTCGACGAGACGCCAGTGAACGCATTCATGGCCTACACCGTAACGTAGTGTGCATTCTTTGCTACTTAATTCGGCAAGGTAGTCGGCGAAATTTAAATACTTGAGACTCCACGGGTGACAATGCTAAGCGGGACGCATGTAGGACCCGGAGATATGGTTCGAAGTAACTAACTCTTGATAATGCAGAACCCCTTTCTGTAGACAGACGACCGCGTCAAAAGCCCTCACATTTACGGGTAGCGCACGCCCAGATGCACGTGAAAGTGGAAAATGGGATACACACAGGCAGAAAATGGGTATCCCTCCAGACGCGCCGTGCTCAGCTCGGTATCCTTTAAGTCTCCAAGCATGGATGAATCTTAGCAGTTAAGTGGGACTTGAAAATAATACTGGGTCAGATTTGGTTATTTAGTCCCATCTCAAGTAAACAAACCCCAGTCACTTGTAATACGTGACCAGTGGTAATAGGTGTTTTTGCAGGTGGGGCCGGGGAACGTACGGGCGACGAGGTCAACTGTATGCAAAAGAAAAGCTATTGGAAATGCGCTATTGTACCTTGAGTGCCTGAGAAATTGTTGTCCCAACCCCTGACCCTAACCTCTAAGCCTAACCCCTAATCATGACACCTAACCCCAACAGTATTGTGTCCATCAGGTGGGGCTACATAACCGCATCTTAGCTAATACTAACCAGCAGTTTAATTACCAGCCAGAGGTACAGAAACCAGCACCTAACAGCTCGAACCTAAGAGAACGCGTAAGAAGGCAATTTTATTAGCAAAACATGCGAGAAGACACGGCTTCCCGTTCTGTGCACAATCAAAGGTTGTCGCGGAATGGGGAGGGGGGCGACTGGAGGTGGCCATGGTGGCACAAGTATAAAGGGGTCACGGAACGCGAGTCAGACCGACGAGGTGATCAGGTCTCAGGCACCTGCAATTCTACCACCACAACAGTAATGTCGTCGCGATAATAACGCGCCAGGCCCGGTGGCAAGGCCAGCAGAGCAGCCACCATCTTGGAGCACTCTGAGTCCTCTGCGTTGAGACCAGCAGGTCCCTGTCCTCGTTGGCTTCTACCACGCCGCAGGAGTTGGGAGGCAGCCATGTGCGGCCCAAGGAAGGAGAGGGCGGTGCGCAGGAGGCGCGAGGCGGGACACTGGCCCTTTTGCAGGCTGGAGAGGGTTGCGGCAGCCGACTCCGGCGTGACCACGTCCCAGAGACCGTCCGTGGCCATGACTAGGTAGCGATCCGAGGGCTTTAACTGCAGGGAGGGGACAATTTCTAGTGATATGGTTGCGGGCGAGAGTCTAGACTTAATGGTGCGGAGAGTTGGACTTAAAAACGTCAAATGATCAAAGAGACCAGGTTCAGATCCGGAGCCGTCCAAAACTTGAGTTGGGTGCATGGCTAACTGACGAGAGCTGACGAGCCGGAAACGACTATCCCAGTCTCTTTCGTTTTTTCTGAAATTTACTCATGCTTTGGACTTTCAAATATGCCGGAAAACGGAATACATTTCATAAATAAGGCGGCGGAATGTCATTACAGCTTTCGGTTTGCAATCTTTCCAGGCTTCTTTTTAAGTAACATTCCGAGAGAAATTCCATCGGTCATGGATATTTTGTCAGATATTGTGTGGCTGTATGAAACCAATAATATTTACTGGAAGAGATGCACGTGATACATTTAATGTTAGGAGATAATTTGATCTCGAGATTGAATAACATTTGAAGAAGTTGCGGTAACTGTGATACGTTTCCTTGACATTTACTGTCTCAAAGAACTATCTAGACTCATCCTCATCAGGTTCAACGGATCGACTCCGGCATGGAGCTAATGCATAATTGCTGAACGGTCTCTACCATGTAGACACTATGACCGTGTAGTTTATCACAAGTGGCGGTAGTTGGCCAATAGCCACAGGTAGGCCGACGGGATGACTGTTGTTACGTAGTCAATGCCTCAGCCCAGGACCTTGCCTGTGTGGAGTGCGACCTTGATTAGCCGGCTTGAGGAGGGTATGGGGTGCTACCTGCGACTTCGGGCCCGAACTCTGTACCGCATTTGGCGCCTATGCCCCTCTGTCAGTAGTTCTCAGTCGGTTATTTCCAATACCTACAAACCCGATGCGATTGCTGGGGGAAGTTAAATTCACCTGACATTTTTCATTCACGCTCGAACCAATCCAAAGCGACTGCACCAGGTAGGAGTGATGGGTGCAGAAGAGCAGCAGTGTTCATAGGATACAGTCGCCATGCCAGCGCATACCTATCATAACTACCGGCTCCGCACGTAGCCGCATTGTTAATGGCCGTATTTCGACTACTCGTGTCGGTTAAGAATGTGATAAAGGTTTGGAAATTTGGCCCATCGACACTTGCACTGGGAACGGTATTCGCCCGCGCTTTCCCCACGTGGCTAATTATTCTGCCCAGGCAAAGGAGAGGAAGGCCAATGTGCTTGTTACTCGATTGCGAGTTGGGAAACCCTAAACCAAGCAGCTCGCGAATCACTCGGTTGTCACCTCCAGCGAGAACGTGCGATCTCGTCGGGCCTGAACGTGTGGTTGGGTCCCGTCAAATGCGCCGCGACTTGCGAGTTTGCATCATTCCTCCTCACTGATGTTGTGTATTCTACCATCCGTACCAAAAGGCTTGAAAGAGAATCGCAAAGGTCGGACGATTGTATCTCCTTCTAAATTGCTGCCTGGAGTTCGTATCTTCGCTTCTATCGGCAATGAGGGACAATGTGTACCGTGAGCTGCAACCGGATCCGGCACGCGGAGGCCACACCCGTGGACAGGAAACTATCCTTTGTTTCAACATCAACCTGCAACTATTATCTCCATCTAGATTGATACACTACATGCTTCGCCACGACCACTTGGTTAATAATGACTACTTAAGTAGCACGCATCTTTCACATTGGTTTTCTATGGTCATATGAATTCGAGTGAATTTTAAAGAAAACGTGCACAAAAATGCGCATTCTTATACTCGTCTGGTAGAAAATCACATTGTCTTCACATTTTGTACCCTAAGAAAGATTATCTTTCGGTTTTAAAAGTTTCTTATTATGATGTCCACACATACAGCATCGCACATGTCCGTTTACCAATGTTGCTCATGAAATGTACAACAAAGCCCGCATCCATGGCAAAATTTTATGAACTCTTAAAGGCATAGAGGAATATAAGACTTTTCTCACGCGGAAAGCATGCATCTTGCAAATTGAAATCGCTCAACGCTAATGCAACGGTTGATCTGACCCAAAATTATTCGGAAATCGGAAAACGTTTTCAAAACCTAAATATACACTTTCTTCAGGTATAAAATGTGCAGACAATGTGATTTCCTACCAAACGAGTGAAAGAAAGCATATTTTTTGCATGTTTTCTTTAAAATACATTTGAATTTATAAGACCATCGAAAATCAATGTGAAAAAGTCATGTTACTTGAGTAGTCATTTTTAGCCAAGTACGACTTCTGCAGTAAGTCGGAAGGAAGTGCATTTGAAAGCCGACATCCTGATGAGTCAGAAATACCATGGGATTGTGCCGCAAGATAATCATTATTACAATCTCACCTAAGAAATCCTTCCTAATCTAAAAGGCGTTTCAAAATTTCGGTCAACATTTCATGAGATCGGTCACGCCGCTGTACATCAGCAACGAAAACGAGCAAATGCAGTTAGACAGACGTTTGCCACCGATAGGTCACATTCGAGCAATTGCAAAAAGCGTCGGACACATACTCGAACAGTTTTGACATCGGGCTTGGCCGTCAGATAAGGCGGACTGGAATAAGGTGAAGGAAGAGCTGGAAGGCCCGCCCAAGGACCCATCGGAACTATGCTCTCCGAGTATGTGGCCTGTTCGGCGCCAAAATATCTGGCCAACTGGACCAGCCGTTTGGCCGGCCATTTGTAACGGACGTCGCCAAAGGCCCGCGAGGGGGCCAACTCGCCCAGCAGGCGACCACCGTTGCGAAGAACTTGCTTGCGGGTATCCTCCGGGTGTTGGGCCAGTAGGCGCGCAACCTCGTCGGGGTTAGTGGCGCCAGCGTGGGCAGTAGTCAGTGGGGTGGATTTCAGTCCGGCTGAAAGGTGGGGGAAAGGGTGAAACGACAGGATAGCCAATTTGAAAGGGCTGTTAAGTTACTCTGGGTGAAGGATGTAGTGGTTATGCGGCGTGAGTGTGTGCAGTCTGAGCACTACTATAATCGGGGCAAATCCTAGTGTTGGAAGAAGAGAAACGGCACCGGAATGGGGGGATCATTGTGCCCAAAACCCGGAGTTGTTCTCTCAGGCGGCAGTGGCCACTGGCGAAGCCACGGCTGGCGTTGACTGCGTCCAGTCATGCCTGAGAGTCCTTGAGATAGTGGTATCAGCCGCTTTTGTAGGCTCGTGGACCAAGCTCAAGTGGTGTCCAGTCAGCGTGTGTTGCATTTGCCGAAGGGGTGGTGTCCTAGTGGGTTGTTGTGCTGGTTGCAGAAGGCGGCGCGTTCAAGTGGCCGCATGGGCAGCTGCGGCTGTGCGGACGCAGGTATGCCTGAGCTGTCGGCCGTGTGACTTCAGATCAGCGCGTCTCGAAAGGCTCACTGCAAAAGGGTGGATGGCCTTGTGGCAGCAAGGTCCTCAACAATGACGCCAAACCGGTCATGATGGCTGGCCGGGAAGTGATGTTAATTACCCCGCTGTTCAGATTTTTACTTTCCTATGAAAGTAAATGCGCGAATTTGAAGTAAATCCTTCGGGACTAAGCCGCTAATAGGCAGTCGACAATATGCGAATGTTGAATGTCTAAGACCCCGACACGTGTTTCAACGATTTTCTGTCGCTGAGAGGATCGTCTCATCGGTGGTCTCGCGGCGTTTCCCCTGTGCTGTCTGGTAGGCCGCTGAGGAAGTCTTTCATCAGAGGGTGACGCGTAACTGTGTGCAGATTAATGAAACTGTGTTGCATGGAAACCCGCCGTAAGGGCTCTTCTAGGCCCTCTATTCAATGTCGAAACACATCAAAACTACCTTGCGTGCGGTCCTCCAGCGGGACATAGAAAAGCGGTGGGAAATTGTGTTAAAAAGTAATTTTCTCTCCAAATAAACACATGCTATGCAATTTAAAGCCTTTGAGAAAGGTAGGTGGACAAACGAAAAGTTCAATGTGATTATCATTACAACCCGAACTTTCTGTGATTTCTTTGAGAAAACTGTCGACAAACCTTGACGCAGGATGGCACACAGGCAGTCGGCTAAAAGACTCGGCGCGTCAAAACCCATTGAAGAAATAAAGAAATTTAAATCTAAAAATTTCCTCCATATGAGGGCTCACAAGTCTTGCAACCTTTGGTACAGCGCGACTCCAGGGAGGCAGTTAACCATGGCGAGCGACGAGCGTATTGGGTTATTGTGGTGGCATAATGGTCTTAAATATGACGAGCTCTGCCCAAACGTCGAGCAAAAGCTCAAACACCAACCCCAGTCAACTTATATCCTCAGTTCTAAGTGTCAGTCCACGCATGTTACTCCAACACCCGGGTTTGAGTCTCGACGTTGCTATTGGGAGACACCTGAAGGGCTGCAGCACACGTCAGACCGGCCAGCACGTGTGGTCGCCTTCGGGCAGCCCTGACACTGAACCACGGTGGACGTGGAAATAAGGGGAGTGAGGGGGGGCTGAGAAAGTCCTCCTCACAAAAAGCCAACTCACGCGCAAATCACTACTGCTCAACCGGGTCACTTGTGCTCATCGTCTTGATCAGTCGGCAATAACATACGATCACTCATAACGAGAAAGTCGCCTCGAGTCGCACATGCTGTGTGGGGGGGGACAAATTTACCAGTCATCTTAACCCCTGGCTACCGACAACCTCCAGCACGGCCTTCTTAGTGGGTGCTGCTCACGTTAACTACACGATACAACTGAGAGAGAAGGGAGGTGGGGGAGAGTGTGAGGTCGATCCGGCGTTTCGGCGTCTTACCTACTACAAACGAGCGGTGATGCCGTTTAACTACTGCGGTGCATTAACGGTCAGGCTGCAATGGTTGCGCCGTCGTGTGAAAATTGCAGCACTCTCGTAGAGTGGAGCTCTAAACTGCTGGTTAGGCTGTGGGATGCTGGGAGCCGGTACATGTGCCAACGCGTAAACATGACTTCAGTCTCGTCAGCTGCTGGTAGTGTTTCCATCTCCAGTATTCTTTGACTTTGTTTTAAAATCACAAAGGCAGTAGGTGTGGGGAGAGAGAGAGAGAGAGAGAGAGAGAGAGAGAGAGAGAGAGAGGTAAGACTGACGCTACGTGGACCTGCTGCATCCGAATCAGCGCTTTCAACAAGCGAAATTATAATAATGTATCACGAAAATGCGGTAATTCTGTTGTGCATTATAAAAGGGAAGCAACGTAGTATGGAACGAGAGCGATTTATAGTTGAAGAAAGTTCGTGACCATCTTCACGCTGCCCCTCGATTAAAATCAAAAAGTGATAAAGAAACCAGGACAGCGATTAACACGACAGGAAGAGGGGCATAGCCTTACTCGAAAAGCTGTTGTCAACAGTTTTGGTATTGCAGTAGCATCCAACCCCATCGGCAGAGGTACAATTTGTACGGTTTAGGAAACCAGTTAGAAGGAGACAAGGCCCCTTACCGCGATAGATGGGTATTGATTGCATGCAAGCCAATGCATTAAGGCATACTGTGAGGTAAATGACTACCCTGTCATCTGAAAAAAACCGTTCCCCTCAAGCTTCTACAACTGTCTTAGGCAAAATCATGGCTATAGCTCTCCGGGACTACAAGGAGGTTAGTGTAAGGCGATAGAACAGTCCTGCCTTGGACCCCAGACCGACAACACTGCTCCTCTCCAACGAAACGCAGCACGCTCGTAAGTTCAAGGACAATGGATTAAGTGCGACTAAAGACAAGTCATTCGCAATGACTTACAAGCCGTTACTTATCGCTATACTTCCTGTTCGTTATCAATGTTATGCAACGACAGGTAGCAGTTGACAAGCCTTCGCGAAATCGTTTAGCTTATGCCTGCCTGAAGGACGTCATATCACGATAAAAACGAAACAGCACTGAAGTACTTCCCACAACATCAGGAAAACAACTAAATGAACACTTGAAAGTGCCACTGGCCCCACCACAAGTAGATACAGATCAGCGTACGCCACGAAATAAACAAAGGCATCCGTCTTCTTCTTATGCTGCTGCTGCTGCCGCTGCTGCTACAGGGTGTGACGCCTGTGTCATGCTCAGCGGTCGGCTTGGAAACTAATGTTACCGTGGATAACGGAGTGTGTCTCAGGTGAGGTGCTGGTTGTCCATCGGAGACACCTCCTAGTAGTGTAAGACAGCCGAAAGCTCAGCCTACCCGAAGGCGTGGACCGTTAATGGCAAATCGTCATCGTTACCACGATGGCCAAACTCGTACCCCAAGGGGATGCTAGCTCCGACAGTGCTCGAAGCAGGGGTATCGGGCCGAATCTGAGAGATCAATGAGAGGCCAGTGGAAGACCAGAAGTGATAGTACCCTAGTGGGTGTTAAATAAAACGATATATTTGTCGATTTACCGACGCCAAGGGCCTAGGATCCTGCTATCGGGAGTCGAACAGACGACGAAAACGCTGCAGAAAAGTTAAGTAGTCATGCGGTAAGCACCCTTGATCACTTTTGCTTCATCTGTATGACACTGTTTGGCTTATTTTAAAAGTGATCACAGTATTACCGCAGAGCCTTGTTCTTGAGAAGGTGCCCGCTAGTCTTTGAGACATCCTTCGCACAGTACTACCGTAAACCTTTGCTCACAATAGTATCACTACTTTCAATGATCCAAGTAGTAGAGTATGTTACGAATACTAGAATCGTGGTCGTCGTGTGGGCATCGGACAGCAAGTCAAAATGGGCAAAAGTGGGATTCAACACAGTACAGGAGAGTAAAAAAGGACAGAGGGCCGAACAATGCAGTCCTGAGAACAAAAGTAAAAAGTATAAATTGTGTCTGCACTAACCGGATTCATCTTCAGACACCAACAACGCTGCACAGTCGCCCACATTGGCAATCTGTAGCTCGGGCTGAGACGCAGACGTCGAGTGCAACTCTCCCTTACAGCCTCCCTTAGAGTCAGACCAGCAGAGATGGCCAAACAGGCCGACAGAACCGCTCATCGCTAGTTGCAGGAGGTCCTGCGAAACTTTAGAACTAAAGGGATTGGTGGGTTGGGAGATGAAGGCGTCCAAATCCTCCATGCCGAGACAGCAGATGTCGTTGTCAATACGGGATAGCGCTTCTGTCAAGCAGAAGGCTGGTTCAGCTAATAAAACAAGGTAAGTAAGATGTGCATGTGTAGGTGAGTTGAACAGGAACTGGTAGGGATCTCTTCACCATTTCAAGTCTCTAGGTCAAACTGAGTGACAGCCAGAATGCGAATTGAAAACCAGGGCAAGAATGCAAGCATAAACACGTACACTAGGCTGCACCCGCTTAAGGTCATTCTGTTTAACCAGATTTGAAAGGAGAATGAGCTGTGATGCACGGAAACGGATCTAGAGAATAAAATGAGAGTCCCGAATTGGCCATTGCAAACGTACAGCAGCTGACCTTTCCCATGAAATTATATCCGGAATTCTACAATTTGTTTCCGATTGCAAAGGATTACTAACGCGAAATCATAGGAGTGATTACCCTACGCCAAGATGCCAGCTTTCGAGTAAGCTTCTTATCGGTTGTCTGCGGAAATCCCACACAGCAAAAAATGACTACTTAGGCAGCAAGAATTTTCTCATCGATTTTCGATATCCTTATAAATTTAAATATATTTCAGAGAGAACATGCATAAAACTATTCATTCTTGTACTCATTTGGTAGAAAATTCCGCCCTCTTCAGCATTGAGATTTTAAACCCCAAACTAAATTGCAACTGCAGGCGGAGTTCGAAATTATACGAGGATTAAAAAGGTTTTTAGAGCTGAAAGATGTAGTTCTTGACTGAGTGAGTACAAGGATCACCATTTTTGCATCTTTTCTACGAAGTATACTTAAATTTATAAGAGCGCCGGAAATCGATTGGGAAAATTCACACTACTTAGGCAGTCATTCTCCACCGCGTATGGTTTTTGTAGGCGGCCAGAAAGAAACTCATTCAAAAAGCCGGCATCTTGGCGTAACTGGAGTATTTTCAAATCATGGTGCACTATAATCAATCTTGCAAGCACACCTAGGTAATCCTTCACAATCGAAAGCGCATTTAAAATTTCGGAAGCAGGTGGTTGGCGCAGCGTAGGCCACCGCTCAGGCGTGCCACCGCTCAGGCGTGCAACCGCTCAGGCGTGCCACCACATCATTGCTCGCGCGTATAGCACTACAGTAGGTGGGCTAACTCAAGAAAAGCCAACAGAAATTCCGAAATTCGTTTTCGTTTCGAAAAAGTTAATTAAGTAGGGTTGTAAAACTAATCATCATGCAGCAGAATTCTATAATACTTCAGGTACCACAGGATGCCAGCTTTTGAATGAACATCCTTTTGGCTGCATGCAAAAACTATACTCCGTAAAAAAATGACTACTTAAGTTGCATGCGGTTTTTTCATTGATGTTTTATGCCCTTAAAGATTCAATTGCAGTTCATGGAAAACATGCATATAGATATCCACTATTTTACTCATTCAGTAGAAAATTACGTTTCCTTTAAATTTTATACTCGAAGGAAGGGTATAATTCGGTTTTAAAAAAGGTTCTAATTCTGAGATTTTTTAATACCGTGAAATGGTCCTTCACAAAACGTCATGTCTCTGCATTTACCAATCTGGCTTGTAAATTTAACAATGTGGCTCAAATTCACCGCTTCATTTTATGAACGCCATATGGTCTCCTCTTAATACGGTAGAGAAATGTATGGTTTTCCGTACGCGGAAATTGTACGGCTTGTAGTTTGGGAACCCTGAATGCAAGTGTAACGGCAGGTCGGGTTCCAAATTACTCGGGAATTGGAAAGGTTTTTGAAAAGCGAATTATACCCTTTCTTCGAGTATACGATTGGAAGAAGACGTAATTTTCTACCGAATGAGCAAAAAATGAATATTTTATGCATGTTTTCCATGAAATATGATTGAATGTTTAAGAGTATCGAAAATCAAGAAAAATGCACGATACTTAAGTATTCATTTTCTACGGAGTATGGTTTATGGGTGCAACCGGAAAGAAATTCGTTCGAAATCCGGCGTCCTTTGGTAAGTGAATTATTATAAAATCATGCTGCACGATGATTGGTTTTACAACCCTGCTTAATTAATCTTTTGGAAATAAAAACGCATTTCGGAATTTCTGTTGATATTTCAAGAGTTAGTCCACTTACTGTAGTTATGGGTGCGTAGTCCAATAACGCGTGCCGGACCTTGAGCTGCCC